GAGGAGAGAGAGAGAGAGAGAGAGAGAGAGAGAGAGAGAGAGAGAGAGAGAGAGAGAGAGAGAGAGAGAGAGCGGAGGAGGAAGAAGAGGGACGAAAGGCGAAGCCTTTCTCCCTGGTAACTGGCGATGCAGCTATGGCGTGGCAGGGCTGGGCTCTGGGCTCTGGGCTGTGGGCTGGGCCAGAGGGCCAGCGCTGCTCCTGCTGCTGTGCTAACTCACTGCTGCGCTGTTTCTCCTCGTTGCTGTGCTAATCTCTCTTCTGCTCCGCGCTTCCCAACGCTGAAATGCTGCGCTAATCTGTAGACTAACTCGTATCCTAACCTCCAGACCAACTGTAGGCTAACCTACCGACTGAGGCTGGTACCCAGCTGATATAGTCCTGGTCCGGCCTCATTACTACTGGTGCCTTCGGGTCTGGACCGTTGATCAGGCCTAACGGCTCAGATCCGATTTCTATATCTAAAAATTGGTGCCTAAACTGCGCCGCCGGCGGGTCCTACCGATGGACCGGTACCTGGCCTAACCAACTAGCCGTTGGGTCTGGTGGGGTCTAAATGAGGCCTACCGCACTCTAAACTGAACCGACGGTTCCTAGGCCTACCTGGACCTAGCTGGGATCGTCGTGACCTGGTACCTAGGCCTAACCCATGCCTACTACAGAACCGGGCCCTAACTGGGGCCCGTGTGGTGTCAGTATGCCACACACTCCCCCCTTTGAAGACCGAGCTAACTGCGAGGGTGAAGCTGTCAGTCCGATGTCCGTACGGGGCGGGCTGGTTGGACAGCTTCCTAAGCAATCGCTGTTTTTTGTAATGCGTGAAGATGAGGGGTGTTGTCACCTTCAGGTCAGCTCGTGAAATCCAGCGCGTGTCGTCCGGATCGCATTGTTTGAATGTAACTCTGTGCTGCATCGGCTTGTTGACGTGCTTGCGATGAGCGAGGACGCGGTCGACCTCCTGGTGACCGTCCATCGAAGGAGGGCCGTGGGACCGTCTGGCTGGGAATTTGGTTCGTGAGGTTGGAGTGTAGACCGCCAGCTTCGAAGCGTGAAATACAGGGTGGACCGTTAGATGCGGGTGAAGCTCGATTATGACGGAGGGACCCGCGAGGTTGTCGCCAGCTGCTGAAGTGACCTTCCATGAACAAAACCACTTAGGGAGGAGCTTGCGCGAGACGTCCTGCTCGAGCGCGAAGTCCTCGGACGTGACCCAAACAAGGTCGCCAGCGCGGATTGGACATGGGATGCGACGCCGGTTTGCTTGCTGCTGCATACGGACCTGAGCCTTTTGCCTATGGAAGCAAAATATTTGCGAAGATACAGCCTTTCCGTCAACCATGGTACAACTCGAATGGAGTGACGGCGATCGCCGGGTGAACCGAAGTGTTGTAGGCGAACTCGACTTCGGGAAAACGATCAACCCTGTCCTTTTGATCTGGACGGATGAGTGTGCGGACTGCGCAATCTGGTGCCCACGTTCTGTTTGCCCATCCATTTGAGGATGCCGTCCGGAACTCGGTTTCATGCTGGTGCCGGATTCCACCATAAAGTGTCATCCAGAAGGCTGACATGAAACAAGCGTCGCGGTCGTTGACGATGTCTTCCTAAACGTCGTGGCTGCAAAGCCAGCCAGTATGCAAAAGTTGTGCGAGCCCGGGAGCCGTCGCATGATACTTGCATGAAAAAAATAGAGCGTACTTGCTCAAACGGTCGACGACCGTGAGAATACCATCATGGCCAAGGCAATCACGAGGGAAAGGAGCGGTCACATCCATGGCAATGGAGAGACCTGCTTCCTGAGATTTCGGCAATGGTTTCAGTTCGCCGTATGGGAGCTGATGGCGCCCTTTGTTCCTGTGGCAAACTGCACACGATTGAATATACCGGTTGACGTCGTTGATGATGTCCGACAGTGAAAAAGTTGGCGGAGTCCTGCAAGTGTGCGTGCAATGCCAAGATGTCCCGCCAGCCGCGAATCGCGGTATTCGCCAAGGAGGCGAGTGCGCAAGGTGCGGTCTTAGGGAACAAACAACAAGTCCTTGCCTCGCATATGGAGGAGCAAGTAGTTGTCGGTGATGCAATAATTGCTTGCTGGTGGGTGATCCTATTATAAGTCCGTATAGAGTGTGGAAAATCCTGGATTCGACTTGTAGCCGTTTATGAAATGTTGTTGCAGGTCCTCGTCGAATACGTGTAAACATAAATGAACGGTTTCCTGCCGTGAGCTACGACTGCGGTCAGGTTTGTTTTCATCATCATGTCGTGTCGATAAATTAGAGTAATTATACATGCCGATGTGAGGAATGGTTGTCTTTTTCTGATCCATTTCATCCACTATAAGACAAAGGTATTCCGTGGGGTTCAAAATGGAACGAAGTTTCCAGTCAGCGTAATCCGCATGGTGAGCGACCTGATCTAATTGGTGTTTACGGTGCTTTTCGTCGAACTGTTTACGGTCACGAAGGCGAAGGGCGTTATCTCTGGCCTGTCTAAGACGGACGCACTCGCCACACTTTGTGAACGAGTTGGATTTGGCAAGGTCGGCATGCCACAAGTACTTCCTCCATATGGAGTAGAAGACTTGCTCCGAAACGACGGTTTGACCCGCCGCTTCCAATTCCGCCTTAATGGACTCGTATACAAGGAGCTTCGTGAAATAAGCAAGGAGCCAAACTTTAGGTCTCTGTGAGGTCCCCCTCACAACCATTTCGTTAGGCATACCATCTCCATGTTCTTCCACGAATCTTGTCACACGAGCCAGCATGCTCACATACTCCGGTCTTGGGTTGAACAATCCCCATCGATGATGCTGTCCACGAACGGCCCCTTCTGACTTGCACTTACTATAATGACGAAATGTGTTTCGACATATCCCTAATATTTAACACCAACCGGCGATGCACACACAGCGTTTGCACTGCACTAGACCACCGTAGAGGATAGTGAAATTGTCAAGGGTTTGCATCCACCAATAGA